GAGATCAAGAATGAATGTTTCTACATATAGTCATGTGGTGCACATTCTTCCATCTTGTGCATGAGCCGTTATCGTGAGGAATTTTGGTTAAGGCACTATCAAAATCAAGATACATTCTGATCAAACATTCCCCTGATTTACTAGTTTAGTAACCTTATCAAAAGGAAGGTTATATACAATAAAAGCACAAACAAAAAGCTCCCCACACGCAATTTTGACTGCTCACGCATTTTCAGATTAGATCATTTTGATTTTTCTATCTTCAAGTTCACTGACTTTCTCTTATCTCTAAACTGCTATTAAACCCAACTGATGATTTTTTAATCTCAGACACTATTTTTCACTTCTAGAATCCATTTGATCTTGTGGTTATTGCTACTGTTGTTACAATTTCTTTTTCTCTGCTGAAATTTCTTATCCATTCATTAAAAGTCTTTTTTTGGTGTTTTTGTTGTTAGGCAGAATTATAATAGCTACCTTAAAAATCCTTGTCTTCTAATTCCAACATCTGGGTCATCTCAGGATGTCACCACTGATTGCCTTTTCTTTTTAGTATGTTTCTTCATATGTCTGATATAATTAGACTGTATCCTGGACATTGTGAATAATACATTATAGAAACTGTGGATTCTGTTTTGTCCTTCTGAAGAATCTTTGTTGTTTAGTAGGCAGTTAATATGGTTGACCTCAAGCTCCAAATTCTATCTCCCCACAGTGGGCTACAGCTGAAATATCCTTTCAGTTCTTTCAGTTTTAGCTGGGCTGCTTGAAGTCTGCCCCAAAGATTTGGAGTTCTGAGATCAGTGAGAGATTTAGGCAGTATGGCTACTCTCTGTGGCTTTCTTCTTTTTTCAGGATTTCCTCCTCACTTTCTAGACTCTGGTTACTTGAACTCTGTCCTCAGATTCCTCAACTACTAATACTAAAAGTTTCTATATGAGTTTTAATGGCACTGCCTGGGGCCTGCCCTAAGTTGAAAAAATGTTGAAAATATGATTCCCTTCTTACTAGAATTAACTCCCCTCAAGTTTCTGCGTACTTTTGGTCACTCTCCATTACCTTTAGATAATTTTTAATATTTTGTCCAAAGTTTAATTTTTGCGTGTGTGAGAGGGTTAGTCTAGTCAAGCTACTCCACCATGACATGCTCAAACTCTTACTTTTTCCTTGCCCTCTTCCCAAATTAAGGACCTGTCTGGACTTTCCTAGATACAGATACAAAACTCACCAACATCCTACAGAAATAAGTTAATAAATCATTAAAATCAATGAATACATTCATACATCTTAAAATAGGCCTGAATTCCTAAAATGGACTCAGCATACCAGATGACCCAGTACCCACCCAAATGCTACGGAGTTCCTGGGTCAGCTCTAGTGTAGAGCTAATCAGGGCATGGGTTCAACTCCTTATTGTAGGAATTATATTTACTCAGTTATTCTAAACTCTTATAACACAGAAGAATATATTAAAATATGCTAGCTTAACATCATATTTTATTAACCAAATTATTATGACATGATAGCTTTCATAACGGGTAAAAAACATCAAAAATTACTTTTCAAGATATTGTTCTTTTATGGTATTATTATCATCAATATTAGCCTAAGGAGATTAATGCAGGTAACCTCTGTGATAATTTTTTCAAGCTCACTGATCTTGAAATCCATTTCATTTAATTGAAAGATTAGAAACAAAATGAGAAAAAGAACAATTTCATACCTTTACTTCCCTTTTCCTCACCCACCTATTAATTTAAAGGCTTTTTTTTAATGCATATTTTATTAAGTGAACTGGATGGTGTTAAGGCAGGTTTTGCTTTATGACATTTCCTGTGTACTTTACCCCAGGAAAATCTCTGGCACTATTTGATGTATTTCTGTTTAATTTTTTGCCACTGGGCTACTTAAAACATTACAGAGGCTTATTTTCCAAGATGGAGAAAAAACAAGCCTTCTTTCCATTTGGCCTTGTGTTTCAACCCTGCCTTTGTATTTCATTAAAAAAAAAACAGATTTTCTTTTCAGACTGCACAGCAAGGACTTATAAATTAAAATCTGCAGGTGTTCTTACAGTGTTCTGCAAACCTAATGAGGTTCTGCAATCCTGTTAGTGCTGCTAGTAGAGAAAAAGGGGCATAGCACTACTTATTAGTGTTTATTTTTCCATCATGCTATTTCCTAATTCTGGTCCTTAGATACTAAGTGGAATCGTAAGGAAGAGAACAAAGAAAACAGAGCATGTCTCTTTACTCCTTTAGAAAGGTGTAAACGTAAATATAAATAGACTCCAAGGTAAGGAATCAAGTCATGACTTCTAACCTTAGTTCCCTAACCACACCACCTGACAAAATTAAGTTGTATAGTTGTAGTCATTCACATGGGGGGAAAATAGGCAATGTCTTCTCATGTCTTATTTTTTCTTTATTATCCCTTATGCTTGTGTAAGTACTATTCCCTGTTTGTTTTTTCTTTATCCTGCTAAATATAATCCCCCAAGGCTTTTTGTTTGTTTGTTTTGTTTGTTTTTTTACCTGATACCAGAAAAAAACCAGGGAAAACTTAAAATTAAGATAATAGTTTAGCAGGCCACCAGCATTCATACAGTCTGATGCTACCTGTGCATGCAAAATGGCTTTCTAAAGTGTGGTGACTTGTTTGGAAATCGCCAGTGGACCTCAGACCAATCTAGGCTGTCGTGCAGCTCCTCAGCCCTAAATCCTAGTATAGATCAGCTTTAAAGCAGAGCAGCAGGAATTGTTTAAATATATCCCTTCCTACTGTTGTTCAGGAAAATAATTTTTCCCCAAATTCCTACAGATACAGAACCTTCTTGTATGCTCCCTTGTTTTTCATTTTTAGCCCAAAAATCCTCTCTAGAAGCCCTTCTGTACATCCATCACTGCCTCTTCAACCTCTCCCACCTCTCCACCTATGATTACCAACTCTTCTTTTTCCATGTTCCTTTTACTGCCATAGCCTCATTTCACACCAGTGTGCCCTTTCCATAATGTAGAAAAATGGACGAAAACTTAAGCATTTAGCAGAAGGTAAACAAAAATTTCTAATAGACAAATTTCCTCTTGACTCTCCCATGAAAATGCCCCTTCTGACTTTTTCCACGCTGAATTCAGCTCTCATCCCAGTGCACCCAGTTAGAGAATCATATACTAGAGCCCAAGTACCAGTTTTGAAGCTTCTCATTACCCCTCCCCATCAACTCAGGCCTTGTAGCACATACCATCCACACCCATTACCAATGCAGTTCTACACTGCTGTACATCAGGGTCCTCGACCCACACGGAACCTAGTTCCCGGTCTTTCTCTTCACTGAGCCTCCCATCCTCTGTTTCACTGACTTCAGCATTGACACTCTCACGACGATTCATTCCAAAGATTCTGTCGACTCAGCTCAGCTGATCTTTTGCTCCACCTTAAATTATCTACAGACCAGCAAGGTTAAACACTGCTTCTGCTACACCTTCATCCTGCATTGGAAATCCTTATCTCTAACTCTGAACGACACTCCAGGAGCATGACTGTTCATTCTTTTACCAAGTACACTTTTCATTTTTAAAAGTTTTGAAATATACCTTCTCAGTTCCAAGCCCTCTCTTACTATTAGATTTAATTTTCTTGCAGTTAGTGTTTTATTTCTAAACCTAATAAATGATTTGCTTTTTAATACATTATTTTATAGTTACTGAATTCATAGAATATAAAGTATCATTTTTCAATCCAATACTAATATTTTCTTACAACAAAGAAACATATAACAAATATATTACCTCTAAGAAATTCCACATCTTGCCCAATTCCAACTGTAATCAGGACCCTCAGTTTTCTCTTTAATATTAGAAAATTACTAATCAATTCACCATGTGTAAATAAGAAGTGAATAAAAAGTCATTTTATAGGTCTAAGAACACATTTACTATTTTTCCTTCTGCTTTCTGCCTCCCCCCACTATTCTAATGCATACCCAGGAGTTGGGGGGGTATGGTGCTAATAGACCTACCATTAACTACACAGAGTCACAAAATAATAAGTACTAAACGCACTGACTTCTTTCTTCTTTCTTGGGATTTCTCATCTCACTCATATCAAACCCAGGAGAAGTGGGGTAGTTTCACCATGATTTTACAAAACCAGGGCTTGCATTTTCAGTAATATAGCAGATTAGACACCATGAATGGCACTCCTTATTAAAACAACTAATACACTGGGTGAAATATTTTAAATATCTTTTAAAACACCACTCATCCACACAAAAGAAAGGAAGCTACAGATATCAAACAAAGGGAAAACAGTAACCCACAGAGATGAATGAGGACCAAACCTCACTCTCACCTGGAAGTTTCTTCCAAATCCTGGAGACTGAGCTTTTGCTTTGACAAGTGTCCAAGATATGGGAGGTAGGAGCCTGGACTCACCCAGGAGGGAATCTATGACTATAAAGGGCTATGCCTTCAAGGGTAACAGTGCATGAGAAATAAATCTTATTGCACAGAGGTGGGTGACAAAGTTTTTCTTTTGTTTGGCACTGAGTAGAAGGAAAGGAAAAAAATAAAAATACACAGAGAAACAAAGAACCATTCATGAGAATCAGGAGAAGCAAAAACAAAAATTAATCATCAAATGTATAATATTAAATAACTATACTTGACATGTTTAAAAAAATAAAACTTATTTCTGGGATATAAGCAGGAAATAAGAGATTATGGGACTTCCCTGGTGGCGCAGTGGTTGAGAATCTGCCTGCCAATGCAGGGACACAAGTTCGATCCCTGGTCCGGGAAGAACCCACATACTGCGGAGCAACTAAGCCCGTACGCCACAACTACTGAGGCTGCGCTCTACAGCCCACGAGCCATAACTACTGAGCCCCCATGCCACGGCTACTGAAGCCCATGTGCCTAGAGCCCATGCTCCACAACAAGAGAAACCACCACAACGAGAAGCCCATGCAGTGCAACGAAGAGTAGCCCCTGCTCGCCACAACTAGAGAAAGCCTGTGTGCAGCAACAAAGACCCAACACAGCCAAAAAATAAATTAATTTTAAAAAAACCCTCATTAAAAAAGTTTATAAAAAGACTAAGAAGATTTGAAACAAGAACTTAATAAAAATAAGAACTTAAAAAAATTAAAAACATAATTAAAAATTCAGTGGATGGATTAAACATCAGATTAAACAAAAGCAAAGAAAAAAATAATGAGCCAGAATATAACTGAGTAATTGATCCCAAATACGGCTCACAGAGACAAGGAGATAGAATATACAATGAAATAAAGATCGAGAGACACAGAACATGATGAGAATGTCTAATATATGCCTACTTCAGGTACAAAAAGGAGGTAATAAAAAGAATGAGAAAGAGATAATAGACATAACAACTGAGAACTTTTCAGACATCAGATCTTGGCATACCAGTGAATCCCAAACATGATAAATAAAGATACACACCTAAACACATTACGGTGAAAATACAGAATTACAGAGAAAAAAGTTTCATCTTAAAAGCAGCTGGAAAGAAAAGAGTGATCACTCCAAAACTTCAGCAATTCAGCTGATGGCTAGCTTCTCACTAGCAGATATGAAGCCAGAAAACAGCAGAGGAGTATTTTCCATGAGCTGAGAGAAAAAAATTGTCAACCTAGAATACTATAATCTATGAAACTATCTTTCAAGAATAAGAGAAAAGCACTAAAGCAGAATAAAGACACTGTCAACATAAAAATTGAGAGCATTTATCATCATTAGATGGCCATTAAGAGAAGTCTAGGTAGAACAAAAATGATCCCAGAAGGAAGGTCAGAGGTATAATAAGAAATGTGAAGCAAATATACTGAAGATAATAATGAGTAAAGTATTTATAAGATATGAAAAACAATTGTGAATGAATCAAAAAAAAAAGATAGCCAAAAAATTTTTAAATAGGCAAAAGACACAAACAGATATGACATGGATTGAATGTTTATGTTCCCCCAAAATTCATATGTTGAAACCTAATTGCCAATGTGATGGTATTCGTAGGTGAGGTTATAGAGAAAAGACGGTGGTCTATGAACCAGGTAGCAGGCCCAGACCAGATAGCAAATGTGCCAGCACCTTGATCTTGCACTTTTCAGCCTCTAGAACTGCAAGAAACAAATTTCTGTTGTTTATAAGCCACCAAGTCTATGGTAGTTTGTAATAACAGCCCAAGCCACTCAAGATAAAGCCCATAAATACATGAGAAAATATTTAACCTTATCAACAATGGTATATAGGTAGGTAATCTTTAACACTTGGCTCTCCAAAGGGGAAAGCCCTGATTTGTAATGTTTGCTGATTTCCATGGGGTAAATATCATATGATGAATCAAACGACCAACATGATGTCACTGAACACAATCACACTGTGATGTCACTGGCTCATGAGAGCCCACCCCAACACTGCAAAATAAAACTACAGTGAGACAGCATTTGCAGCCACCAGACTAGTAAAAATTTAAAAGTCAGTCAATACCAGAGTTGGCAAATATATGAAACACTAGGAACTCTAATCCACTGTTTGTGGTAGTAAATAGGGTTAATCGCTTTGGCTGAATATATGCATATCCTACAACTCACAGATACCACTCCTTCAGATCTTTGTATTTTAGGTACAGAAGCAATATTAACATCCAGGATTAGATTTGGTCTTTTCCTACATGATCCTGATAAAATGAAGTATAGGATTATGGTTGGTTTGGTTGTGCTTCTTGTATCTTTAATCGAACAACAACAACAAGATCCCTAAAACTTTATTTTAGAGCCTGAAGAATAGAAAGAAAGCTTATCTCTGAGACATTCTGAGATAAAAGCCAAGGTGTCTTACCCTAGGTCCTTGACCCAGTCCTTTTTCTAGAACTCACACTTCTTCCAAAGCCCATCACAAATTGGAGACTTGAGAGAGAAAGAGAGAGAGAAAATGAAAGAAATGTGATTGAGGGAAGAGAAGGGAAGGATAGGCTTGTAGAACCCCAGTTAGCACTTGAATGCATTCCCCACAAAGTATTGTTACTTACAGAAGTTAGGATCCTGAGCTCTGTAAGTAATAAGTCACTTAATCATCATATATGTATTCTACACCACCATTATGTCAGGAATTGTGCTGGATATTGCAGATACCATGATAACAACATACACATGACCCCTGTCTTGAAAGGGTTTATAGATTAAGGAAGGCAGACTTTAAACAAATAGTAATTAATCAAATAACTATGTGTGCAAAGGACAAGGAAAAGTACAGGATATCTGAGAATTGATTAACAGGGTATCAAAACTTGGTTTGGAAAGATGTAAGTCAGGGAAGCCTTTGCTAAGGAAGATATAACTTAAGCAGAACTCTCAGGAGTTATATGTGTGAAGGCGGCGTGAGAAAGAATATTCCATGCATAGAAAGCCAGTGAGTAGGTACACTAAGGTGGGAAAAAGCATAGTATTTTGGAAAAATTGCATTAAGGGAATGAGCGAGCAGGTGTGATAAGCAATAATTCCTTCCAGAGAGGAAGTCAGAAGCAATCCAGCTTCTAAGCAGAGCCTTCTGAGCTATGGTTGAGAATGCGGGACTTGACTGTAAGAGTAATGGGAAATCACTGAAAGATATTAAGTGGGGAAGTGAGAACATGTGTGAAGAAGAAAAGACATCTGAAGACCAGGCTCTGGGGCACCCCACATAAAAAGGTCAGTTGATGAGTAGAAACCAACAGAGGATATTGAAGACGTGTCCAGTGAGGAATATAAGAATCAAAGAAGAGTGTTATTCCAGAAGCAAAATCAAGTAAGTGTTCCAATGTCTAAGATATGACAATGGAATTGGGCATTTGAGGTAAAATACAGAACATTGCAAGGGAAGAGGTCAAGAAACCGAGAAAAACCAGAATGTTGGAAAAATTGTCTTTGTGGAAATTGCAATCACTGAGAATACTGACAGGTATCAAATTTAAAAGAGTGGCAGTGAGCCAGATGTGAAAAATCTTCAAGGGGTGAGGAAAAGCAGGAGCCATCAGAGGTCTACAGATGACCTAGTATGATGGCACCAGCTTCCAAGTCAAGCCAAATGACTGTGAATGTTTTGGGTGTCGGTAACATCAGGTAGGCCATATGAAAGTATCGGTAGTCAACTACTTATTAACCTACAAAAACGGCAGTCTCATATGGTTCAACCCAATATAACTGAATATATAAAACATACATTTGAATTGCAGTTGGCCTCATAAGTTGATATATATTTATGTTCGTGGTATTTTTCAGTTGTAAACTCCCTTTGATTAGGAATTCCTATTTTACTGCATGTGTGTCTTTCATGGCACCTAGTGGTCTGCTTGGTACTTTTAGTAGGTCATTTAGTACTTTTAATATATATATATTACTATAATTGCTACTGCTGACGTATGTTGTCATTTCAGGATAATAATCATTCTCCTCACCTTTCCTGTTTGGGAAATGATTGAGAAATATACACAGGCATTGGGTGGCAATAAACATCAGCTTTACTGCTGATTAAGCTGGAAAAGAGAAAACAACTTGGACCTGAGGCCAAGATGGGATGCCAACTCCTTCTCCTCTGGAATGAATTTATGCACTCAGTCATTTGACAAATGCAAACTGCTTCCCAGGGGCACAGCCAATTTCTAACATGACAGGGAGTAAACTGAGGGCAGAGTAGGCCAGGTTGGGGGGCAGCAGATGCAAGTACATACAAAAGGCTCCATTTTTTTTTTTACTACCTTCTCTCAATGTCTCCCAGAGCCACCCTTTCATGATGCTTTCTTCAAAGTCTTCACAGCCATGACATTAACATAGTATTTTAAAAATTTGTTGGATAGGTGCCAATTTTGGAAGATGTAGTCAAAGACAGCAATTACTTCCCCCTCCACTCTTGTCATCCAGGACTTACCACTGTGGGCACACAGATCTGAGTGAGAGAGCTAGAGAAGTCAGGCCACACATGTGCAGTGACCCATCCAGCTATTTACCAATTAGGTAAGTCACTCTTCCCCTAGGGAAACATGAATTAAAGGTATTGGGGAGAAAGGTGGAAATTTTCTCCCCCAAGACATCTGATGGTTTTTTTTTTAACATCTGACAGTTTTGTAAGGCCTAAAGCTTATACAATTTGGATGGTCCTCTTTAAAGACAAGAATACAAAATTACAAGTGTAAAATTGGGTAGAAGGTTTGGAAGATGCCTGAGCAAGTGAAGGTCCTGAAACTTAAGTGTTATAGCTTTAAAAATTCTCCTCTGCTCTTCAGAAGGTAGACATATCTATTTTTATGTGTGCATCCCCTAGGATGCTATCAGATACAACAATTCAACTTGCAAGCAAACCAACTTGAACTGGCTTCAATAATAAAGAAGAGTAGTGGCTTACCATAATTAAGAGTCCAGTTGTTGGACAGGCTCTGTGTTTGGTCATCTATCAGCTTAATGTCATAATGACCCAGTTTCTTTCCTTCTCTCCTCTGTGCTGTCCACAGTACCTATTCATCCTTAGGCAGCTCCCTTCAAGTTTACAGCATGAATGCCAGCAGCAATGGAGACTAATAGCTTACTCTTTCCTGGTAAAAGAGAAAGGACAATTGCCTCAATCATAGAGCAAAAACCCTGAGATTCAAACCATGGCCTACTGAATTCAAGAGTCCGAGTGACTAAGGCCGAAGCCAAGCATGGTGGCAAGAGGACTAGGGTAACCTTAAACATCAGGCCAACCCGGGCCCACCTCCAGAGATGAGGCTAAGGATGGGGACATGGTTCATCCAAATCGCATGTCTGCTGTATAATGGAGGAGTGGAACTGAGGTTGGCAAAACATCCACAATATTAAACCAGAGGGTAGAGCATGGAATTAGTTAAATCTATTGATATTTTACAAAATAGTCATTTGATTTACATTTCCCCTTCCATCTTCATTTTTCTCTCCCACAAGACAAAGCCCCAGGGCAGGGATCATTTGTTCGCTAGTTACCCAGCACCTAGAGTAAGTACTCAGAGTTTACTGAGGGAAAAGTGCATTTACCACAAACTTATGAGAAACAACTGGTGGGAAGCATTAAATAGGTAATTATAATGGTTTATGTAAAATGGAACTATGCAGGAATATGAAGTCAGAACAAGAAAATAAGATTTAGAGATTATTGAATTTGAACTGAATTGACGAATAATTTTCAGGTCAGAACTATATGTCTTATCAAAGAAAGTAGAAATAGACAAAAGGATTTTTTTGTAAAGTGTCTCTTCAGATTCTTACATGTCTGCGGTACCAGGGGTTCAGTAAGACATCAAAAATGATTAACAAAGTAACAGAAAGATAAGTGCAAAATAAAGGATAATTAAGATAACCTTTTGATTTTTTTTTTTTTTTTTTTTTTTTTTGCAGTACGCAGGCCTCTCACTGCTGTGGCCTCTCCCGCTGTGGAGCACAGGCTCCAGATGCGCAGGCCCAGCGGCCATGGCTCACAGGCCCAGCCGCTCAGCGGCATGTGGGATCCTCCCAGACCGGGGCATGAACCCGTGTCCCCTGCATCGGCAGCCGGACTCTCAACCACTGTGCCACCAGGGAAGCCCAACCTTTTGATTTTGACATTACATGGGGGGCAATTAGATTAAATGTGAGCAATTAATTTATAGTTTTGTAATGGAATAAAATATCATTATACCTTGAGCCAAAGGTAATAATTTGACATATTTTTCTTTATAAAAGTAAAACATAAAGCAAGTAATCTTGCTTAGTGTGATAAATAAAGCTCCTGGAGGAAAAGAATCATGTAACAGTTTTGCAAGATTTCTGATTTTCCATCTATTTCATCTTTCATTCTCTAGATTCCTTCCTGAAAATATGGATAAAAATCAAAGCTTTGAAACTCAGATTACATTTTAGATATACTAAGTCTTTTCTTCTTAATTAAACAATTCATTGGTAAATACTTCTGGTAAAATTTTTTTAATTTATTATTTTTAAAATTTTTTATTTATTTTTTTGGCCGCACCGCGTGGCTTGCAAGATCTTAGTTCCCTGACCAAGGATTGAACCCAGGTCCCCTGTAGTGAGAGCTCAGGAGTCCTCACCACTGGACTGCCAGGGAATTCCCTAAAATGTTTTTTTTTTTTTTTAAACTGGAACGTTATTTCCATATTTCTTTCTTTTTTAGTGCAAACCTTTGAACATTCAGTTTTATTAAATCAAGTCATACCTGTTCTAGGTAATGTGTTATGTGCAGTAGATTTCATTAAGGGTTGGGTGATTAGACTGCAATGATTTTAAATCACCTCAGGAACCCAGGAATGTTAGGTAGGAGATTAGAAAAGGTCCACAGCTTGCCAAGAACTTCAGCTATTCTGATAAACAATTCGATTCTGATGCTGACTCTTGCACATTAAATATGTTATCCAAGTCTTACACCTGATGCTTGCTGTGAAGATAGTATTTGAACCACCCTTCCTGCCGACATAATCATTCCTTTGTACACTTAAATACCATTTCCATGAATATGTCAGTGTGCCATAAACCATAGCAAAGTTTCCTATAGCCACATGCTTTGCCTTGGCCTTCCGTACATTTCTAGTACTGAAGAATCGAGTAGATTAAGAAAAATGATGTAGGTGTAAGAAAAAAATGCATAGGGCTTCCCTGGTGGCGCAGTGGTTGAGGATCCGCCTGCCGATGCAGGGGACACGGGTTCATGCCCTGGTCCGGGAGGATCCCACGTGCCGCGGAGCGGCTGGGCCCGTGAGCCATGGCCGCTGAGCCTGCGCGACCAGAGCCTGTGCTCCTCTGTGGGAGAGGCCACAGCAGTGAGAGGCCCGCGTACCGGGAAAAAAAAAAAAAAGCATAAAATGGTATAATTTTAGGGAAGTAGGTTTAAATTTTAATTTGCCTGAAAATAGAATCAATGGTATATAATAGTGCTTTGAAAGTTAAATGCAAAGTTATATGAAAATTAGAATTTTTCATGCCTAAGAATATCATGCTAATTGACGTAAATTTTCTGTATAAAGATTCTGATTTTGCCAGACCATCTAACCAGCAATTAATATCCTCTTACAGGGAAAAAATGTGTTTGGTGACATGTTTAAAGTGCCCTCGGTAGTATTTAAGATGAATGATCTTCAAGGATGTGGAGAAAAGGAAACCCTCATACGCTGTTGGTGGGAATGTAAATTGCTGAAGCCACTGTGGAAAAGAGTATGGAGGTTTCTCCAAAAACTAAGAATAGAACTACTATATAATCTAGCAATTCCACTCCTGGCTATATACCCCAAAAAAAACAAAAACACTAATTTGAAAAGATACATGCACCCCTATGTTTATAGCAGCATTATTTATAATGGCCAAGGTATGGAAGCAATCTAAGTATCCATCAAGATGAACAGATAAAGAAGTAGTGGCATATATATACAATGGAATACTACTCAGCCATAAAATAGAAGGAAATTTTGCCATTTGTAGTAATATGGATGGATTTTGAGGGCATAATGCTAAGTGAAATAATACAGAGAAATATATATACTGTATAGTATCACTTAATGTGGAGTCTAAAAAATAAAACAAACTAGGGAATAAAACAAAAAACAAGCAGACTCAAAGATATAGAGAACAAACTAGTGGTTACCAGCTGGGGAGAAGGGAAAGGGGAGAGGCAATAATGGGATTATATGAAATCATGTGCATGAAACTTTTGAAAACTGTAAAGCACGGGCTTCCCCGGTGGCACAGTGGTTGAGACTCCACCTGCCGATGCAGGGGACACGGGTTTGTGCCCCGGTCCGGGAAGATCCCACATACCGCGGAGCGACTTGGGCCTGTGAGCCATGGCCGCTGAGCCTGTGCGTCCGGAGCCTGTGCTCCGCAATGGGAGAGGCCACAACAGTGAGAGGCCCGTGTACAGCAAAAAAAAAAAAAAAACAACTGTAAAGCACCATAGAATTTAAAGAATCTTTCATTCAATAAAAAAAATGTTTTTAAAGATGAATGATCTTCAAACCAAATAGCTACTTATACAAAAGATGGGAATCCTCTACTTCTTTTTTCTTTTTTTTCAGACTTATTTTAAGGTCCAAGATAATTCAACCTATTTACACATTTGCACAGAGAAGCCCAGGTCTTTACAATAGCTCCTTATACCCTATATAATCTGCCCTACCCCCCTTACCTCTCAGACTTCTACTTTTTTTACCCCCTCTTCCTTCTGCTCTACACACACTGACTTCCTCGCTGTAGCCAAACATGCCAGGCACATTCTCACTGTCAACCCTTTGCCCCAGCTGCTCCCTCTGCCTGGAATACTCTTCCCTAGGCATCCACAAAACTAACTTCTTCACCTCCTTCAAATCTCTGCTCAAACATTACTTTCTCAATAATGCTTGTCCTGTTCATCTTACTTAACATTGTGACTCTCCCTACTCTTGATCCCCCTTACTCTGCTTTTTCTCTATAACATTTATTACCTTCCAACATCCTATATAAATTTTCTCGGGTATGATGTTTATTGTCCATTTCTCATCTAGAATGTAAGCCTCATGAGGGAGGAACCTCCTGTCTTTTTTGTTCCCTGCTTATTCCCAATGTTTGGAAAAATGATTAGCACATTGTAGGTGGACAGTAAATATTTTTCAATTAATGAACATTTCTATGATCTGCTTGCTCACTTTTCAATCAGGAACCACTGATATGTTTCAAAATCATGTGATATGTTTCAAAAGTCAAACTTCCTCCTCAGAGACAGGAACCCTGTCATTTACCAAAAACCAACCAAACAAACAAAAAACCCTAGGAAAACAGCCTTCAAACATCAATTCTCGTTTCCCAATATCCAGCAAAAGGATTGTTTGGTTTTTCTAACCAAGTAATACAAATGGGTAAAATTGCAATTTCAAACACACACAAGAAAAAAAAGAATATATGAAGATTTTAGTGATAGTATTCTGAGTTTTACTAAAGCATTTTAAAAAAAAAAAGCTAGTTGGATTTCAAAGAGGCTCAATCAGAAAGTAGAACCCAGAGGGTAGGATTTCCTGTTGGACTTCTAAGTAACTCATCCTACTAGGGCGACGGCGTCCATACAAGGGACGAATGCCAAGCAAATACATCTGTAAAGCTGTTTTTCAGGTGCGAAAGCCTACCCTCCTCCCAGGTTCACCCCCGGCTCTGCCAACCAGAAGCGTTTCATCAGTTAAGTGAAAACACACAGCTGCTTCCCATCAGTGAAGGAAGGTTCGCGGCTCTACCTGGACATTCCACCTGTTGTCTAAGTGCAAGGAACTGAAGCCTAAATTCTGTGCCTTGTCAGCTCGGCTGCTAAAGTCTAAATGGGTAATTCACAGTCTTTACTATCCGTGAGAATTAATTATCCCCCCTCCCGGGTATCCCCCCGCCTCGACACCTGTTCGGGGACCCCACTGTCAGGACGAAAAACCTCACTCACTTCGGCCCTGCCCTCCTTAGAGCGCAAAGACGGGTCGCGTTCGCGTGCTACGCCGCGTTTAGAGACTCTCGTGGCTTGCGCCCGTTTCCTGGGCTTTTGGTATCGAGCTGCCCGAAGGCGGACTTCGCCCTGGGCTGTTTGCGGACGCTGCACGGCCGCACCGGGCCGGGAAAGGAGTCGGAGAAGGTGCCCAGCCCCAAGCCCAGAGGTGGGCGCGGCCCTTCGTGAGGCAACTCGTTGGCTATAAGTTCCTCAGACGCACCCGCCGGCGCGAAGCTGGGGCTGGAGCTCGGGCTCGGCGCAACCATTGCTCGCGGAGCAGTGGGGGGGTGGAGGGGACCGACAAACAGCACGGTCCTAACGCAAGCGCTGACCCCCATCCTGTGGGTTCGTTCTTCCTCTCGGAAGGCTCCCTTGTCCTGCCGTGCCACCGAAAAGCCCGGCCCTCTCCATCTCCTGCGCGTCCGTCTCCCCCCGCCTCGCGTGGTGCGGTCCAGCCCGCGGGTCACGCGGCGGCGGGGGCGTGGTCTGCTCTGAGCTCAGGTGGTACCTTGTGCGGCCTCTTCTGGCGTCATTTGTAGCGGCGTTCACAGCAGGAGCGATGCTGGGTTGGAGTCGCCTAACCTTCGTCTTACTGAGCGTGACCGTCACCGGCTCGGTGGCGCAGCACGTGCCACCGGTGGGTGAGCTGGCGGCGAGGGCGCGGAGAGGGGCGCGCGGGAGCACGGGGAAGTGGGGTGCCCAGGGGCGGGGCCGGCGGGGCTTGAGGGACACCTAGTCCCAGCAGCATCTTTACAGGGGTCGGTGTTTTCCTGAGCAGAGGTGTGGGTGCAGAGCGGGCTGGGGAATTTCACCCCGGGTCGATTCGGTACAAGCTGGAACAAGGAAACCTTTTGGGGAAATCCTGATCTCTGCGGATTGGTGATTATGGTTTGCATACCCTCACGTTTGATGGATTGCATCTGTTCTACCAGTACCAGCCTCGAGCATCCAGAACTGTAAGAGAAAAAGTTCCAGTTGATTTGTGTACATGAGTAAGTGACGAACTTCCTGAGGACTTTGGCATCCTCTGCCTGGTGACGAGGTGCTGAAGGAAAAGTATTAGCTAAGGATCCTGAGGGCCCTGGGAAAGGGCGAGGCATCCCCAGTCAGGGCAATGGGAGCAGCCCAGGCCAACCTAGATGTGGACGCCTGGTCTTTATATCCGAGTCAAGTGAACACTGGGCCTGTGGCTATTTCCCCTTGAGGGAAGTAGCAGGAACACAGACTTGATAACTACAAGAGACAATGAGGGACCAGTTTCACTCTTACTTTGCAAGGGAGGAAGTTGATTCCGAGAAAATGTCTAGAAGCATGACTGAACTCAGGCTTCTGGACATCTGGTCTCGTGGTCTTGCATAATTCTCTTCTTTAAAAGCAATAAGACTGCATTTTTCTTATCAACAGATCAGATAAATAGGAACTTGGGTGCATGTGACCTAAGACTAGGTGAGGATGTTTTTGAATAGTTTAGGTAGAACATTGACCTTGGGAGCAAGATGTGCATTCTCCTCTTTTATTTTATTTCTCTACGGAGAAAAGCTTTAAGAGTAAGATCATGGTGAGATATTACTCAGCCATTCAAAACTGATACAAGATAAAGCAAGTAAAAGTAGAATACAAAATAGTATACACAGCGATTTCAGTAACAGAAAAATACACAGTATATACATGTGGGTGAGGACTGGAAGGGTATAAGGAAAAATAAAATTAGTCTGCTTTAGTGTGGGTAGGGAGTTAATTTACTTTAAAGTGGTTGGGATTATGGGAATTTTTAAAGAATTTTATACTTTGACACTGTCAATGCTTTCAGCCAAAGACCCCAGGAAACACACCTGTAGTTGAAGAAATTGGGTTTATTATTTTGCAGTGAGTGAGAATGCATGCCATGGGCAACCGTGGGGCCTCTCAGTAAAAGGGCATTAGGAAAAACCTGTTTTATAATTTGGACTTTGTGTGTTTCAGGGGCAGGTCTAAGGAATCGGGGGTTTGCTCTAGATTGGTTGCTTTTAGAAAGTGAGGCAACACTATGGGTAAAGAAGAAACAGTTATTTGTTTAGCAAGAGAAGGAGGTGTTTGGTGTTTAGCGTGTTACATGTACCTTTGTTTTTGTCTGTGCTTAGAGTCATGAAGTGGCCTTGCTTTGTCTCATTTGATCATGTCTCAGATTAACCTTCACTGAGGTGGGTATTCTGTGAGTTGTGTCTAACAAGAGAAGAGAAACGGCCTGGCTTTTGAGTGTCAGAGCAGCAAGTTAATACTGAGAGGTCTAGTTGTGGACCTCAGAACAGTTTCATATATCAATATCTGCCTTTTATTTTCGTTGTCAGTACTTTATTTTTTCAAGCAAAAGTACTTTAAAAGGTATTTGTAGAACAGGAAAAATCAACAGCCCCTCCATGAATTTCATAGTTCTTATCTGGAACAGTGGTTGTCAAATTCTAGTCTGGCCTCTGGTGTCAATTTGGGAAGCTGCTTCCACAAGTCTTTAATGAAATGAGAAAAATGAGGCCTTGAAATTATTAATTTAGAATGTTAGCTTTTATTCTGATTATGACCTTCCAATTTTTGTTGTTAAAATGTTCTTTTATGTGTGTGAGTTGTTTTGTTTGTTTTAACATCTTCACTTTGTAGAACAAAAACTGGGACTCCTCTCAGTTTTTTAACTGATCTGGAAAACCTGGGGGCCACTGGCTGACAGGATTTTGGGAACTTCACAGAAATTCAGTGACCTCATCCTTTGACAAGAATAAGCATTTTTTTTTCATTTTGAATTGTTCTGTGATAAACTGTAGCCACACATAGTAACAAAATATATTTCAAAACTACTTTTGATAAATATGATAGTGGGAACTGGCTTTAAATTACAAACAAAAATCATTGGATTTGGAATGTCTGTGGATTTTGTTTTGTTTTGTTTTTGAGGCGCTTCAGACTATGGCATATTTTAAGGTCTTCTTGAGTTATTTGATTCTATTAAGAGATGGTGGTGACAAGCTATCCCACTTCTGGGTATTTATCCAAAGAAAATGAAAACACTAATTTGAAAAGATATCTGCACCGCCATGTTCATTGCAGCATTATTTACAAGAGCCAAGACGTGGAAACAACATAAGTGCCCATTAATGGATGAATGGATAAAGAAGATGTGATTCTCACTCTCACACACACACACACCCACCACACACAATGGAATACTAGTCAGCCATGAAAAAAGATGAAATCTCGCCATATGTAACAACGTGTATGGATATTGAAAGTATTATGCTGGGTGAAATAAATCAGATGGAGAAAGACAGATACCGTATCTGTCTAATAAATGAACAAACCAAACAAAAACAAACACGTAGATACAGAGAACAGCAGCGTAGTGGTTATCAGAGGGAAAGGGGCAGAGGGAGGGTGAAATGAGTAAAGGGGATCAATTGTATCGTGATGGATGGAAACTAAAATTTTGGTGGTAAGCACTCTGTAGTGTATACAGAAGTAGAAATATAATGTATACTGGAAACTTATGTTATAAACCAATATTATGTCAATAAAAAATAAATTTAAAAAATATTTTAAAAAGAGAGATGGTGGTGACAGAAGTGGTGCAAGAAAATCTGGAGAGGGAGATGGAGATGACATCATCCAGGGCTCTGTAGACCTTGATAAGGATTTTGGAATTCATCCTAAAAACAATGGGAAGCTGTTGACTGGTTTTAAAAAAGATGTGATAAATTTCTCACTTTCAAAAGATCAATTTGGATTGGAAGGGAGCAAGGGTGGATATAAGGAGACTAGTCCAATAGCACAACCCTCCTGACTTACAGGACGGTTGTGCTATTGGAAAAGGAAAGAAGTGGATGGTTCCAGAGAAGATTCGGAGGTAGAATGAGAAGAAGGAGGGGTTGGATGGGGATGAGGGACTGGCACCTTTCTGAAGTGCTCAGCTGGGAGAATAGTGGCATCACTACAGGAATATGAGGAGGGAAGAATGAAGATCATTTTTCACTCTGGTTATGTCGAATTTCAGATGGCACCAAGACATCCAGCAGACCTTTGGGACTGGAGCTCAGAAGAGGATATTGGAAGTCGTAGGCATGTTATTTTGAAGCCCACTGGAGTGAACAATGAGCAGATAGAAGAGAAGAAGAGGCTTAGTGAAAGGCTCAGGGGACATGCATGTGTCAGGTCAGGAAGAACTGGCAAAATTAAAGCAGCAGCCAGAACTGGAGAGCAAGTGTTAGGGACGCTCAGGGGAGAGAGGGACAGGCCACCTGTGTTGAATGCCATTGAGATGTCTAGTATCTGTTGTACTTGGCACCTAGAGGTCATTGGTCACCTTGGCCAGAGCATGTTGGGAGCAGAAAATAGATTGTAGTAGCCTATGGAGTCATCAGAAGGAAAGGAATCAGAGTAGGCGAGATGGCTGTTCTCAGTAATAAATCTAAGCAGATCCCTAAAATGTGTGAAAATTAAACACACTGGCTCAGTAGTGACTTACTGAATCGAACTTATTTTTATGCATCAGCTTTTCAAGTGAGTGATAACGTTGTTGACATTAGCCACTGAATCAGGTTTTAGCAATGATTTTTACAACGTTTTCCCAAATCACTTAAACCCCGTCTGGCCTGGCCAGTTTTACTGTACTGCATTTGTTTTCCACCCAGTACTTTAAAGGAAGGAATACACAGATACCATATGTTTGCTTAGTCAACAAATACTGCACGCCTACTCTGGGCCTGACTGTTACAGATGCTGGGAACAGGTCAGTGAACAAGATAGAGAGGTCTTTGCCCTTATGGAGAGTTTGTTCACATTCCTTTTACCTAAATATTCTCAATTTAATAGGGTACCATTCCATCAAAGGTCAGAAAACAAGTGAAAAACTTTGCATGCTCATTTGAATTTGTTATATATGCAAGAAAACATGCCTTTTCTTATTCAAGTGTGTCTTGAATATGTGTCTGCTCTGTCTTACATAGAGAACACTTTAAGAAACAAATCTTATTTAGAAAATAGTTGTCGGTGAATTAAAGAACTGAATTGAAATTGTCTTGTTGGACTTCCCTGGTGGCGCAGTGATTAAGAATCCACCTGCCAATGCAGGGGACACGGGTTCAGGCCTTGATCCGGGAAGATCCCACGTGCCGCGGAGCAACTAAGCCCGTGCGCCACAACTACTGAGCCTGCACTCTGGAGCCTGCGAGCCATAACTACTGAGCCCCCGTGCCACAACTGCGGAGCCTGCGCTGTAGAGCCCGCGTGCCACAACTACTGAAGCTCACGCGCCTAGAGCCTGTGCTCTGCAACAAGATAAGCCACTGCAATGAGAAGCCCATGCACTGCAACGAAGAGTAGCCCCCGTGCAGAGCAACAAAGACCCAATG